ATCATATAATTGATTCATTGATATATGTGAGAGTGTAAGATCTAACTGCACATTACAATACTCATCACTAATATTTCTAGGTTTCATAATGAAAATGAAACTAGGGTTCGTTGAACCACCTTATACAAAGTTGCAGGAATTGAAAAGCAAAATCAAAATAAAAACAAAAATTCAAATACATTTAACTCAACATATTAACTCAAAATTGAAATCCAACATATTTTACTCACAATACATTTCATTTGAAATTGAAATCTAAAACCGCCTTAAGGTGTTTATTAAATATATAAAGGCACAGTTGAATTGGAAACCCAATCCAATTTTACTGCCAAATCTGAGCAATCGGATGGCTAAAAATATTTGGCAACACGTGGCTATAATCTAATGCATCGTAATGGTACAAATCAGATACAGAATACTTTACGCATGCTGGAAAGGACAAGAGCAAACAGATGTAAATAGGAGCATTTAAATCTTGTAGAAAACTCCATGCAAATTGGTTTTAAAAAAATCCAGGAAGCACTATTGCCCCACATTCTAATCCATCCTCACATCACTGAATTCCATTGCACATATTCATTGAATCTTCAATTTGCTATGGTAAGAGTAAAATAATGAAATTTGATTAACCATTGAGGGTAAAAGTGGAAATTTCCTGCACTGAGTTTCTATAAGAAAGGCTCATTTTTTCCATTACACTACATAGCTCATTGCATCCTCCAGGAGAAGCAGTGCATGAATTCTATACACTCTTCCATGTCTACGTTTGGTCACTTTTGAAGGATATTCATCCGTCAAAGACATGTCCTATCCTAAAACTACAGTACTCGAACATGACATGTTGCCATCACTAAAAAACAGTGGCGATGGTTAAGAAAGCATTTTCCATGATTTGGAGGTATAACTGAATTAATTATATACATATATTTTATGTTTAGTGTAGAAGCAAAATGTCTCTTTTTGCATGGTTAACGAACTAATTTATCCATTTTCAAAGAATGTATTCCTACGTAGGAGCTTATACTATTATACAAGACCACCGCAAGCAAGTACAAGCTCACTATCGTGAGCCAAAGTCAGATTTGTCCACATACGGATACAAAATTCTTATCGTTTTAGGAGGCAAATACAATGTAGAGCATTGAGGTTGCTATACAATATTCAGTGAGAATTTTGTATTGATAATGGTATCATTTTAAAGTTTAGAAAATCACAAAATTGAGGCATAGTGGGTGTAGAAACCTTCGTGGTTTAATTTATTTCATTAAAAGATTACACTAATAAAAATCGAATACATTGTTCATACTTCATATTATTTTGATCACAATGTTCTTGTTATAAAAGAATACATTCATAAATCATATTTTCCCCTAGATACAACATGATAATCATCTTCGGATGTCTTAATAATATAAAAGCATTCCTTAATACCAACACATAATGTTTGTAAAAACAGTTTAATTACTACAGAGTATAAAGAAGAATCTCATCTGCTACCTGTGATGTATTAAGAGACAAATAAAGGTTTATATTTATATAGGCAGACTGGAGCAGTTCAAAAGAGTGAGGCAGGGTGGTGTGCATGAACCATTGTGGTACATTAGAAAGACTTGGTACACAATTTACTCATCTATGTGGTATCAAACAGGTTATCCAGGTACATTATGCTAAAGCATTTCACAGAAGAGTGGCAAAGTTGGCATAGTAACCATTTGGTTTTATTCTTTATATTAAAAAGCAATGCACTATTTAAAATTGAATACATTGCCTTTTTTAATAGACCCGGGTCTTTTTCATTCACTCTAGCAACCCTTTAATAGAGCATCTTTAGTGTTAATTTCCTAGACAGATCAGTGTTCTTAGCTATCCTCTATTATTAGAATGCTACTAAGCAACACTCTAACAAACTGAGGCAATTGTGCTTCCATTTCATATGCCCCCTAATCATTTTTCAATAAAAATATTCCTAAGCAACAATTAACTAGCGTCAAAGATGCTCTTGGTGAATATACTCCGTTGTTGGAAAAGAACAGTCCACATGTTTTTTAACATTAGAAGTAGCTTTAGTTCACTTTATTCTTCAAGCTGACAGTAATTAATTCCTCAAATCCACAAAAATAAACTAATGTTTGTAGCTTGGTCAAATTGTGAACAGATGATATGTCACAGTAAATGTTTAGAATTATCATTTCTTGAAAGTTAATAACAGAGAATCTGAGCTATAATATGATATTGATCAAATAAGGAAATAGGTGATCAATGGACCATTCAATCGGCCATTAGTCTGGATAATCTAGGGTTTCTACTCTGTAATCTACAACTTTTTTATAGAAATTTCTAAAAGAATTTTAAAAAAATCATCAATTTCGGAGGCAATCAATGATCTAAATGCATTCATTTTGTGAATTCAAATGTATATTATCGACAGGTTTAGTTTCGAATCCAAAAAATAAAAAGTTAATTGAAGATGGAGGTTGGAAGATCTGAAGAACAGAAGAAGCATATATGACTACCTGTTCACACGGGAATGTAAAGACGACGACACAGCTCTGTAGTACGCGATTGGGAGATAGCCGATGGCCGCTCGAGGGCAATGGTCGTAGGGCACGGCGACGGAGACAACTCGCTAGGGTTAATGACTTAGCTACCTTCCGTTCGACTGACGTTGGAATGGCTGATACTCATCTACCCTAATTTGATTTGATATAAATTTAATTAATTTATAGTATTAATTTTTTTTATTATAATAATTATAACAATGGTAATAATAATAATAATAGTATTAGTAACAATAATAAGAACAGTAATAACTATAATCAGGGCCGGTCCCGAGAATTCATGTGCCTGGGCCGAAACAAAAAAAAGACCCTAAAAGTGTTATCCTTAATGGTCTAACAAATTTTCATATGTAAACTAATTACTACCTCCGTCCTAAAGTATTTGTCCACTTTCATTTTTACACACCATCCAATACACTTCTTTAATCTATTTTATTTTGTAATTTGTATATTAAAAAATATAGAAATTACGGAGTATATATTAATAATCTATATGTTAAGACAAATCAAACAAGATCACACATGACTATATTTAGGCTTACACATTGAGAAAATTTGATAAGTCAAAGTGCTTAGATGAACAGTTCCAAAAGTCAAAACTGGACGAATACTCTAAGACGGAGGTAGTATATCATAAATTAATATCAGTTCGTCAATTTTTTTTTGGTTTTCAATTTTTTTATATAAATATATCATAAATAAAAAATTCAAATCAATTCATCCAAATCAAATAAATAACAAATAGAACCATTAAATCATTCTATTTCAAAGAAAGAAATTAGAAAAGATTTCAAATTAAAAACTAATAATTAACCCTAGATTTTAAATCCAAAAAATGAAACAATGAAAGAAAATTAAGATTTAAGAAATAAAAATTAAAAAATTGGAAAACTATGAATAATTAAATATGGAATACCGGGAGGGTGGAGGCATGGAGGTCGGCGTCCGGCAGTGGAGGCGGCGTCCGGCGTCCTTTCTTCAGCTATCAGCAGTAGCTCTCTTCCTTTCTTCGTTCGGCTTTCTTCAATTTTTTTTTTTGTTTTGTCGGGTGAAAGGTGGAGTAGTGAATTGGGCTAATAAGGTGAAGAATAAGTGAAGGGGTGGATGGACTGGGCTTTAAATAAAGTGGGCTTCTCATGCACACACATATATATAATACTTAAAAAAAATTTGGTGCCCCTAAATTTATTGGGCCCGGCCCAGACAGACACTTTGTCCCCCTAATGGGCCGGCCCTGACTATAATAACAATAATACTAGTAATAATAATAATAGAAATATTAATAATAATAGTAACAACAACAACAACAATAATAGTAATAGTAATAATTATAATAAAAATAGTAATAATAATTATAATCATAATAATAGTAATAATAATAATGATAGTAATTATTATTATTATTATTATTATAGTAGTAGTAGTAATAATAATAATAATAATAATAATAATAATAAGATCTGATCTAGTGTGATCTAATCTGAATGTAGTTATATTTAAACTTATTTCTGATCTGATTTGATCTATCTGATCTGATTCAAATAAGACTATGTAATAAGTTTAAAAAAGTTGAGGAAAACATTACCTTATTTGGAGTGAATTTGTGGACTTCTGTTCGTCCATTCAAGTGTTTTTTTGTTAATTATTTGATCAAAACTCTTCTCATTTTAACTTTTTTTAGTCAAATAGGAATATTATTTAATCACAAATTAAACATAATATAAATAACTAAATGTTACAAAATTTTGATATATCAAAACTATATCTTAAGTTGAACCCAATTTTATTAAATTTATATTACAACTGAAAATACTTTTCACATAATTTGTGGTTAAATAGTGTCATTGTTTAACTAAAAAAATCAAAACATGAAGAGTTTTCAGGGACAAAGAGAGTATTTATTTTTATTAAAACTAAATTAGATTAGATCTGAAATAACTTTAAATATAACTACAATCATATCAAATTGAATTAAATTGGATCCAATCGAAGATAATCATATCAGAAGAAATCCAATCAGATAAGAGTATAAGACCAAGCCAGATCTTCAAAAAAGTCTACTCAGATCAAATCATATCAAATTACGAGAACGGAAAGTAACTTTATAATCCCTTCTCTCTCTCTCTCTCTCTCTCTCAAAAAGACTACCATATTTGTAACGCCCTGAAAACTAGTCTAGATATATTGATAAAATAATTAGTTAATAATTGGACCAGTTCAGACTTAATATATATATATATATATATATATATATATATATATATATATATATATATATATAAAATTGGGGAGTAATTAAGTGAAACCTATCTAGTAACACACGTGGCTTTAATAAAATGGGGATTAGTGGCAAATAGCACAGTAAAACCGCCATACCCAAAACTTAGTAACTAAGAATTTTACACTATAAATACATTGCTCTAGGCATTGAGTTTACTTACTTTTATTTTTAGAAATAATACAAAGCCTTGGGCTATAATAACCATAATAATAATAATAATAATAATAATAATAATAAATGGGAGTAGGGAGCCCAACCCACATCCCTCGAGGCTACGCCAGAAGAAGGAAGGAAACCGCCGGAGTTTAAAGACCGCCGTCCTATTGTCGTAACAAGATCGTTTTAAGACGTTAAGGTGAGTACCGCCGCCCATATAACTTTAGAGACATTATATAATACGTTAATATATACTATAAAAGTTTATATTCGGTTTTTAAAACTTCCGTCGCCGGAGTTCGGGAAAAATAGCGGCATAGTATCTTCGACATGTTTTACGTCCAAAACGCTTTAAATCGAGCACTAAAGAATATATAAAGGTCATAATAATTATTAGACGAAGAAAAACAGAGTTTTAAATGAACACCATCGACGGTCCGACGGAGAAGATGTTGGAATTTAATTGTTTGAAACAAAAAAACAGAAAGGAAGAAACTGCTTGGATCGGAGCAAATGGTTTGCTGAGTCATTATTCATCTGCCCATACTTCTAATATATAAGCAAGAAAATAACAAATTCCCTAAAAAGTAGCAACTAATCATGGAGCCACATCCTGGCACCAATTACTTATTCAAAGGAATAACAAATGCCATAAAAATCTCATAGAGACTTGGTAGTACCTAGACCAAGTCACAGACACTACGAAACTGAATTATTCACAACAGAAGATGACCGGAAAATGGGTCTCTTTGGCGGCAAACAATTTCTATAAATTCCTACGTCCAAATTGTTCCTTTATGATTGATAACAAGTATTTTTATGAAAATAGGAAGAAAAAAAAACGAAGTATATGATGATAAAACGAAGGTATCTCGTCGAGGAAGATGACCAGAATCCGGCCAACCTCCGGCGACGAGGTTTTTCGCCTTTTATACGTCCAAACTGTTTTTTTATTCTAATAGGGTTTTAAACAAATTTTAAGTAAATAAAGTGGAAGGTTTTGAAGTAAGCCATGATTAAAGATTGGGGACCAATTTTGCCGGAAAAGTCGTCGGCAACGTCGTCAAAGAATTCTTTTGATTCGAACTGGAGCCCAAGCTTCCTTTAAATTCCCTTATACAATTTAAGTCTATATGTGTATGATCACATAATGATTCTATGCCTAAGGAAAAAACATATTTGTATTTTATATATATATATATATATATATATATATATATATATACGCACTTACTAATTCATTTTAAGTAAAAGTGATTTGATTTCTAAGAAGTAAATAAATAATAAGTAAATAATTAAATATATTTATATGTATATATACGTATATGCCTAATACATATGCTAAGGTATAATATTATTTTAATAAAAATAATATTGAGTTACATGAGATGTACATTCAAAAATATATTTCCCAAAAAAAATAATAACGATTTCTGATATGTGAACTACGGTTCACAAGGTTCCACAGGGTTAACCAGTACCCCTCCATTGTCGTACGTACGAGCTCGTAATAATGGACTCGTCTTGTACCCAAAGTACTTGAAGTCCCAACAAGAGATAATGGACTCGTCTTGTACCCAAAGTACTTGAAGTCCCAGAAAGAGATAGTGGACTCGTCTTGTACCCGAAGTACTTGAAGTCCTAGTTAAACAAAGAGTAAAAGAAAAGTTGATTTTTTTTGATACTACAGTTTTATACAATAATATGTTTATATTATCAAAGTAAAGAATTTTGAGAAAAGTATATGTTTACGCTATTATATTTCGTACCTATTGTTATAATTGGTACCACTCAGCTTTTGCTAATCGGGTTGGCTCCATTTTTTTAGGTACACAAACAGAATAGTGACCGAACCGGAGGACAATGCTAAGCCGATGGAAAGATGAACGAGATGACATAAAGAACGATAACAACAATAAAGATGTTGTTTTGAAATATATATTTTGTACGAGTATGTTAAGCTTCCGCACGTATAATAATTACTCCGATATTATCAATAAATAAATAAGTTTTGTTTAATGCTCCATTTTCCGATTCAAAAAGTTACACCCGTTAACACCGCGAGTCGGATATTCGAATAAATTTGGGTATCCGGGTTGTGGCGTTACAATATTGACATATTATGACTTTTTTAGTCAAATTGTAAAACATTACGACCACATATTATGGAAAAGTGTGATTAGTTATAATGTAAATTTAATAAAATTTACTTTATTTTTGATGGTGTAAATATAGATGGGTGGGTTGACCGGGTTTGACCTGGACACTCGACCCGTAATATAAAACACACAACAAGAACACAAATTATGACCTAGACCGGGTAAATCTCCTCAGTCTGAAATATATTTCTTACTCTGTCTCAAAAGTGTACTAGTTTTTAGTGAGAGAAAGAATGGATCCCCTCCTCTATCCAATATCATCATATTTATAGAGGAGGACTTGTGACCTTCCCCTGTTCATCCATGGACAAATTAGGAAGCCCGTGGGAAGGTCACTATACATAATCAATCTACTATTCAATCAATGAATTTAGCAACTACAAGCCAAGACATGTACTGTTCAATCAAAGACTATAAATGGATATTCTCAACCCAATCAGCCCTGCAAAGTGACAAATGTTCCTTTCACTATTTGCCTCGTGACGGACGAACGGCGGGGTGGTCCCCTGGCCGGGGACGTTGATTGTCATTCCCAAGTGACGCAACCTTACCGGTCACCTTTCCACCAAGGTTGTCCGGTCATTCCTTGAGTTCGACCCGTCTCTTTGGTTCTCTGGACTATCCTTCATAACATGAAGTGACGAATTGGCTAACGCCCAAAATGTGACCGGTCACTTTTTTAGTGGAAGTGACCGGTCAACTTTTGACCCGTCCCAATCGAAGAGTTAACCTCATTTGGTGAGTGATAAAAGTGTCCGGTCATATTTTGACCTGTCCCTTTTGGTTATCCAGGTCGGGTATAGGGATATACCCATCAAGGAGTCCTCCACTTACCGGCCTTATGAGGAAATCATCAAGGGCGGGAAGTATACTTGTGTGTGACCTATCACACTTTGAAATCATCAAGTCACCCTTGCTGACCAGTCATATCACATCACCTAGTCTCTCTCATGACTTGTCCCTTTGAATCATCAAGCATTTCCATCTAAGACCTGTCCTTCTTTGAAATCACAAAGTCATTCTCGTTGACCTGTCCTTTTGAATCATCAATACCTTTCCCTTTCAAGACCTGTCCTTCTTTGAATGATCAAGCCTTTCCTTTTCAAGACCTGTCCTTATTTGAATGATCAAGCCTTTCCTTTGCAAGACATGTCTTTCTTTGAATGATCAAGCCTTTCCTTTTCAAGACCTGTCCTTCTTTGAAATCATCAAGTCATTCCCATTGACCTTTCATTTTTTTGGATCCGTCGCTGACCTGCCATCAATGACCTGTCCTTTTAGATCTGATTTAACCTTTCTCTTTGACCTGTCACACTTGGATAATGCGGGGGAGTCCAAGCATCAGGCCTGGTTTTTTAATTTTGGACTTTCCCTCCAAAACCTTTCGCCTTCCACATTCAAAATTCAAATTTTCTCCCTCATCATTACCCTTTCACACGTGTCAGCCCCTCAGCCTCCCACCTGTCGCCTCGAATTCCAACCCTCCTCTCTCTCTCCAATAAATACTCCTTCAACCCACTCCATTTTCTCACTTCTCTTCCTCGCCTCTCTTGTTTCGACCGGCCCACTTCCTCTCTCTAGCCTTCTGCCAAGTAAGTCCTCCAGTCCTCCTAGTCTTTTATTTCTTTCATCTTTCCATTTTTGACCGGTTAAAATATTACCATGTCTTCCTCTGACTCACAAAACGTATCCGGTCACTCTTATGGGTTGGGTTCTCAACCCTCTTCCTCTAACCAATCTGAGTCTTCTTCTCCCCCTCTCACTCCTTTAATTCGCCGCCCTTCTCATCAATCTAGCTCTCAGGCCCGGGAGATAATTGCCCAGGAGCCTGTCCCTTTGAATCAACTCCCCGGTCGATTCAATCCCAAGGTCCTCAGTTGGGACCAGTGGGAAGAACGATTGGGATCAATGGGCTACCTAGCCCTTGATTCCGGACCGGTCTTCAAAGAGTCTTCTAGGGTTACCAAGAAGGTTCTAGCGGAGGTCCGTACCATCCTCCCACCGGGCTATAAACTCCTTTCAAAAACCACCTGGCCCAATATTATAGAACCCCACCAAGGAAACCAGTTAGGTTTTCACGTTGCTTCGTTGGAGGGAGGCATTATCTTTCCCCTTCGCCCCCTCCTTATAAACATCTGTAACAAGTTCAAAATTTTGCCCGGTCAGCTTACCCCAAATGCTCACTGGTTTTTGAATTATTTTGCCAATATTTGTGATTCTCTAAAAATCACACCTTCCCTCGATCTTTTCCTTCATATGTATGATGTCTTGCCCGGGACTAGTAACTGCCCGGGCTTTGTTTATTTCCATTCCCGTGCTAACTCTAGAGGTTTTATAACTGGTCTCCCCCCTAGCCACAAGAAATGGAAACAAAGATTTGTTTTCGTTGAGTTTCCCCCCTGACCAATTCCCTCTTTCTCACCGTGAGTGGGCTGACCGGGTTATAAAACCTGAAAGGGTTCATCCGGAGCCCACTAAAGAGCTTGAGGACTCCAGCGAGAAACTTCTCAAGGGTGATCCTGTGACCGGGAAACCTTATGCTTATGGGGGCTGGGTGTACCGGTTACAAAATCCGGATGGGGGTGTATCTGCGACCCATGACGCAGAAGATGACCGGGCCAACTCCCCGGATGGTCATGCTGAGGCCAGTTCTCCTCATCCAGGTCGATCATCCTCTCTCAAGCTTCTCAATTTCATTCTCTTTATTTATGTAAAGTTTTGAAATTTAACCAGTCATTTGTTGCTTTGTTCTTTTTTGCAGACATGAACTTCAACAGGATGACCACCATCATCGAAGATGACGACGATGATATTCAAGTCCTCCATTCCGACCGGTCTCCTCTTTACAAGCCTCCCTCTCCTCCTCATATCCCTGAAATGGATGAGGCTACAAGTGCCCGGTGTAGCCCCATCCATGAACAGAGCCAGAGGCTGACCAGCCAGCAATCATTCCGAGAGTGACCGGGCCAATCCCCCCAAAGTCCCGGTCAAATCAAGTGCCAAAGACGTTGGGGCATCTTCTTCTTCAAAAGCCAAGGACCAAAAAAGGAAGAGCTCTCATAAGAGTTCCAGGGGAAGCAAGAAGAGGAAGATCAGTTTATCAGATAGGGAGGGGGAATCCATCGAAGAAACCTTCCTATCCCTGGCCAAAAAACTCAGCAAGGTATTTCATCTCCAGCTTTCTTACCGGTTTAACTTTTTCCTTTGCTCTTATTGATACGCCTCCTCTTTTTTGAATTTGCAGCCCGAGGTCATTTCAGAGGAGATTGGCCAAACACTTTTGGAGCCAAAGGACCAGGTCTCCCAACTCAATCTCCTCCTTGATTCTGCTAAGTTGGAGAATAAGGACCGGGCAGAAAGCGAGAGGAGGCTTGAGGAAGAGCTGAAGGAAGAGAGGGCCAGGTTAGGGGAGGAAAGGATCAAGTTGGTGGAGGAGAAGGCCAAACTGATGGAGGAGAAGAGAAAGGTGGCTGCGCTTGAGGATGCTTTGGGGCAAGCCGAAGAATCTGCCCGGGCAAAAGAGGAAGCCTTCCCCATTGAAGCTACTGGCTGGGCTGCGCGCAATCACTTGGAAGTAGCCCGGTCTATTCTCACTGCACCGGAGGAGACCATGGACTTCTTCAAGACCATGTACAAAGAACCGGAGGGCAAGAGGATGATAACAGAGATAGGTTCATACGGCTTCCAATGTGGGTAGAAGGATGAGAAGTCTCTTCTATATGCCCAGCTTCAGAAGAGGGACCCTTCATTTGATCCGGCCAAGATGAAGCTTCCTCCCTTGTACAAGGAAGAGCCAGCCCCCCCTTCCCCTTTACAGTAGGTTAGGGTAGATTGAGAAAAAACTCTGAATTTTCCCAAGGCCTGGGGGATGTCCGGCCTACTTTTGACTTATGATATTTCACTTTCCTTGGCATGCCTTCAATCTTTACCGGTCTGTTTGCTTCAATGTGCATGGTTGAATTTCTTTTCTTGCATGGTTGTTTTTCTGTTTTGAAGTTGCTTGGTTATATTTGCTTTTTCATGACTGCCTTTGATTGAACTTCCAACTCAATAAGAGTAACCGGTCAACTTGTGAAATTGCCCAGGCATGGTCAGATAATATCTTGAAAATGGCCAGGTCCAATTGGCTTGGTAATCTTGAAAACGTCTTGGTCTTCCCATCTTAAAACATCCTGGTCTGTTATGTTTTTAAAGCGTCCAGATCTAAACTCCATAAAACGTCCAAGGCACTTCACGCTTGACTAGTCTTCTGGACCGGCTTATGTCTAGGCTAAACTGCAACAAACGTCCAGGTCATCTCATGTCCTGGTGTAGTAGGTTAGGTTGAAAGTTTTGGAAGATCACTTTAGACGCAAGGCTTGAAAACTTCCAGGTTATCTCGTGTCCTGGTCTCTTTACTTGAAAACGTCTAGGTCAGTTTCTTCCCGGCTTGTCTTCTGACTCGGTCAACTTTCCGGTTGGAATGTGACACTTATCTAGGTTGAATTCCTCCTGACCAACTTCTAATGGCTTGGTTGCAATATGTAACCAGCATGACGTCAAATTTCCTGTCCAGGTGCTAGGTCAAAAATATGACCGGTCAAAAATGAAGTTTTCCAGATCTGCCTGATTTCCTCAAATTCAACCCGAAAACAGTGACCAGTCACTTTTCTCAAAATTTGACCGGTCAAATTTTAATTTTTTCCCATTGGCATTTTCTTGCCAATCCAGAACATAAAAAAGTGACCGGTCACTCTTGACCATACCACTTTCCTTTACCCCTCTGGCCTGGATGTCATGCTTAGCAGCAACCTTGATCAAACTTCGAACGAATAATCCGAAACGATTTTGGAATCATCAAGTCTCAACATCAAGACCCGATCTTTCTTCGGAGATTTTGACCATGTCCTATGATCGCGAACCTTCTCCAAGGTTCAGCCCTCTTCCAGGCAACACCCTTCTTCCAGGGCCCCTCTTACAGGTTTTAAGTCTTTTAATGTGCCATTCTCTAATCATTAGGTTGACCTAGCCAACCCAATCTTCCCACGTGGGGTATGCCGGTGAGAACCAGCCCTCATCCAATCTTACATGTCCATATGTTATGCGTTTGAAGTGAACTCTAGTCTTCCCTAGACCCTTCAATCCGCAAAGGATGGCTCATGCAAGACGGTAAACATTTTTTATCTTGGCATCTTTTCGCCCCTATCCAAATGAAAATTTGGTAGGGATCCATGTAAGTATGGACGCGAGTCCTCTTCCAGACTCAGCCTATCTCAATGCTATACCTCAACATCAAGGCCCCTATCTCAAGGGTTTATCTTTTTTTTTGACCTTGCCTCTTACATCAAGACAAGTTATTTTAGCATTACTGACCCAACAACACAAGTATTGAAGAAAGCTTTTATTCATCGTTGAAGGGGTATTACAAATGCATGCCTTGCCAACTTGCCCTATCGGTAGAATTTTCTAAGGTGATGGGAATTCCAGCACCTTTCCAACTCTCGACCTTCCATCGTTTCTAACTTGTACGTCCCAGGGCGTAATATTGCCTTGACCCTGTATGGACCTTCCCATTTCTTCGCAAGCTTTCCCCCATCTCCTGGTTTGCTGGCTTCCCTTCGTCTCAGAACCTCGTCACCCACTTGGAAATAACGAGGCCCTACCTTGTTATCATGGTAGGCCTTGGCTGCTTGCTGGTATTCTATCATTTTAGCCTCAGCGATCATTCGCTTTTCTTCCAGGAAGTTCAACTCCGCTAAATGATCTTCCTCATTCCCTTTCTCTTCATAGACCTTCTCCCGAAAGGTCATTATTTTAGCTTCAATGGGTAGTCTGGCCTCATACCCGTACATAAGGACGAAGGGTGTTTCCCCTGTGGCCCTTCTCGAAGTGACTCGGTAAGCCCAGATGATATGTGGCAACTCCTCTAGCCAATTTGTTCTTGCCTCACCCAACCGCTTTTTAATCCCATCGACTATTGTGCGGTTCGCATTCTCCACCTGACCATTCCCTTGCGGGTAGGCCACGGAAGCCTTGTTGTCAGTAATCCCGAAGTCCTCCAAGTATTTGGTGAACCCAGGATTCCGAAATTGAGGCCCGTTATCCGTCACAATGTTTCGAGGAGACCCGAACCTGGTGATTATATTCTTCCAGACGAAGCGCTGGCACTGCTTGGTTGTGATGGTTGCATATGCCTCGGCCTCTACCCATTTTGTGAAGTAGTCGATAGCAACCATGACATACTTCTTCCTCCCTTGTGCTTGGTGGAAGGCTCCAATGATGTCCACCCCAAACCTTGCGAATGGAATAACATTGGAAACTGGGTGGTAGTATGTCGCAGGCCTTCCCGAAAACTTGTAGAACACCTGGCAAGTCTTGCACCTTTGCACATACTTCTCACAATCTTGGTTCATTGTAGGCCAGAAATAACCTAGCAAGATGATCCTTTGTGCGAGTGTCCTGGACATTTGGTGGGCTGCACAGACACCCTCATGAACTTCGGCGATCACTCTTTCCGCCTCCGCCCTGGTCAAGCATCTCAGCAGCGGACCGCCAAATGCCCTTTTGTATAGCCTTCCATCAAGCATTTGGAATCTTGGAGCCCTCAACTTTACTTTTCTTA